AACCCAAAACAAAAAAACCCACAGGTACCCTTATTCATTTCGGTACTGTCTGACTGTTTCTGTGCTACAATGGTAGAGCTGAATAGTTGAGACAAACCATATGTCACACAAAGCTGAAAATATTTACTACCTGGCCCTTTACAGAAAATAATGCCAATTCCAGATTTAGAGCATGAAGTGGCATAAAGACATAGGAGCTACAGTCAGAGGACTTTGGTTTAAATCCCAATGCTGCTACTTAGCATAGTCATCTTGGACCTGTTATATAACATTTCTAACCTCAGCTATAAAATACAGAAGATCACAAGCCTATCTGCCATGAACGTTACATAAAGCAAAACCTAGACCCCTCAAATGTCTTAGCCAGTACAATGCTGGGGGTTGGGGTGGGGGGTAATCTGTTTTTAATCTGATTCTGATTACCTTTAGATAAGGCATGCACTCACCAGTTCTTCATAGGCACCACTATCATCTTTCACGTAATTTCACACATTATCCTCATCTTCTTGGCATCTGAGTTTAGAACTCCTAATATCAGGTAATTTATGTAAAGCACTTCATAAAATATAAAGTGCTACAAAAATTTTAATTAGCATTTACTGAGAGCTATTTTTTGACTCTCACCACTATGCTGGTCATTGGAAGCACTGAGAAGATTTGTGTGTGTACAGAATGTAAACAAGTAATTAAAATATGAGGGGTGTTTGTAAATTATACTTCAATGAAAAAAATATGATGGGTGACATTAATAAGGTTCATTAAAAACTCTAACTATCCTCCAGTTATAATCAAAGAATTTCTTCCTGCAAAAAATACTAATGATGCCCCTAGCATTTGAGAAGCTCTTGGCCAACAGGCTCTTGGTTGTTTCCATTATTTGTTACGTTTTAAAAAGTCAGTTGTGTTTGCATGCAAACCAGTTCATGGCAGTTAAACTTAATGTAATTATATACTATAATTAAATATTACAAAAGCCAAAAAAAACGTGAGTTTAAAAGATAGACTTTTTCTATAAAACAAAGCTGGATGCTTTAAAAAGACTCCACAAAGGTAAAGAGCTTTCAAAAACTGCTGTTATATTAAGGTGACTCAATGCACTGACTTGTGCACTGAAGCTGCTATACAAGGGTCTTTATGTTCTTGTTCCATGTTACAGAAAGCAAAGTTGAAAATGGTTTATTAAAGATGACAAGGAATTTCAATCAGGAGATCCCTATCAAAGAAAAAGCCCTGCCCTATATCAAAAGTCCATTTAAAATTTTAAGTTTAACAAAAGGAGTCACTGATCTTTTTTTTTTTTTTTTAAATAGGAAAGTGGCTCCCAACTATCTACAAAATAAAGTCCAAATTCCTTAGGCTAGTATTCAAGGCACCAACCTACCTCTCCAGCTCTTACCTTGCAAAAATGACCTTCACTAAATATTTACATATCCATAAATATGAACCTTTAGTGCAGAAGTGAAATCTCAGGGCACATGCCATGAGACCTGGGACCCTGCCTGTCTTTTTCAGCACTGTATCCTCAAGAACTGGAACAGCAGCTGGCACAAAGTACTCAAATATATGTTTAACTAACATGTCATTTAGCATACAGGCTAATAATTAAAGCTAGGTGTGGATGATTACCCACAGAAGACATTCAACCTTTTTAGAGCTCTTTGAAGCTGATGGGACCTTTGAACCAACTTTCCCCCAGAAATATGTACATGTTTAAAAACACACTCAATTTTGCATATAATTTCAGGAAAGTCACAGACCACATAACACCTATGCCTGCATCAGTTAGAAGTCTGTTGAACTCAGGATTAATCACCACCAATAACAGATTAAGAAGAGGGCTAAGGAAAGAACCACTGGGGACATCAAAAATTAAGGAGCAAATGGATGTAGAGAACACAGCAAAGTTCTGAAAAGTAAAAAGAGAGCCTTAATGCTATTAAGAAACCAAGAAAGAATTTTTCATAGAGGGAATGACCTGCAATGACAAATGTAGTATAGATGTACAAAACAGATACATTAGACACGGCATTAGATCTCCCTAGAAATCTTACTAGACTAATAGAGCATGGAAACCAAATTGTGGTTGTTTAAAGGACTGAATAAAAAGAGAAGTAGAGACAGTGAGCATATACAACTAAAATCCCCTCAAATATTTTTAATAAATATTTTTTCAACAAATATTCATTTAATGCCTATTATAGGCCAGGCACTGTGCAAGGTATCCTATCCATATTCTGCCCAAATACCCTATTCTCAACAAACTTGACTATACCCTCCTTCAACTCTTTCCCACCTCCAAACTCCTCTATATAATAAACATCAATAACTTTCAACTGGCTTATAAATAAACCATATACCTACTTTTTTATAGAGCCCAACAGAGACTGAGAGTGTTAAACTTAGTATATACGTCTTTTATAAATATGTAATAAACTTTTTTTTTTTTTTTCTTTTTTTTGCGGTACGCGGGCCTCTCACTGCTGTGGCCTCTCCCGTTGCGGAGCACAGGCTCTGGACGCGCAGGCTCAGCGGCCATGGCCCACGGTCCCAGACGCTCCGCGGCACATGGGATCCTCCCGGACCAGGGCACAAACCCGTATCCCCTGCATGGGCAGGCGGACTCCCAACCACTGCGCCACCAGGGAAGCCCTATTCAATGGAATTCTTAAAGCACACAGGTCAACTGACACTCCCGCCCCCCCTCCAAATCTAAACAAAAAAACTACCCCGAGGGTCCTCCCATTACCCTCTTGTTACCAAAAGTCTCTGAAAGAAAAATCTACAATACTCTTTTCCTAAAAGTCTCCTAAAATAGAATTTTAATTCTACTTATTGATTACATTAATTAAAATGAGCAAACTATATTCTATTTGCTAAGTGAGTTGCCTAAGTCTAAGATACTAAAAATATCACTCCAATACTAAGAAAATTACTTATAGTATTTTTTGTGATGATTTTTAAATTTTTTAATCCTACTAACAATTCATTTAGTCAACAGATCACCAAGTTCCTCCAATATGTCATGCACTAGAACAAGATAGGCCTGGTCCCTCTTCATTCGAGGAGAGACATTTTTAAACTTAACACAATTGGGTAAGTACTTCAGTACTATGAGGACACATAGTTAAAGGACCAGGGGTAAGTTTTGTTGCTTGTTTTTGTTGTCTTTTCTCTTTTAAATTTTGGTGGCGGGATGGAGAATGGGCGGGGGTAGGGTGGTCAAGGAAGGCTCTCTGAAGTATGTGACCTTTGAGGGGAATGCCGAGAAATGATAAAAGTATAGTCGGTAGAGCAGAGTATAAGAGTAGAACCAGGAGGGAAGAACACTCCTATCAGAAGGAATAGCTTGTATCCAGTCTTAAGACTAGAGGAGCATCGCATATTTAGGGAATTCAACAAAAGCCAGCGTGGCCAGCTCACAGAGCAAGGGTAAGAGTAGCTTAAGATAAAGCTGGAGACACAGGCAGGTGTCAGATCATCTTTTTATATGTATTTAATAGTTTAAAAGCACTTTAACATACGTTTTCCCTTTTGTTCCTCAACAAACTTGTGAAGTAGTTATCACTGATTAATCTAAATCTAATTATGTCACTCATCTTTAGAATGTCCACAGGGTAAGGTCCAAGTTACTTAAATTACCTTGTCTGCTGGTAGTTACACACCTACTCCTTCCCTACCATTCTACACAACACTATCATCTAAGAAACTTATATTGAACATACCTTCAAAATAGCACCTTCGAAATACCATGAAATATTTGAAAATTTCTTAAAAGCATTAAAAATAACAGCCACGTATCTACTGAAGGAATATACCCTGACACAAGCCTTTTAAAACTATGTTACAAGTCTGTCCTCCTCCATTTGACTATGAACTCCCTGAAGGCAGGGACTGTGTTACTTAATTTGCTGTCTCCAAGTACTGAGAACTTAATACTTTTAATATAATGGATTCCCCAGTACAGGTAGAAGCACTGCAGTTCAGTGTGCTAGAAGCCACAAAAGCAATAATACATCACTGAATTCACTTCCAGTATAAAAGAATTTTACCTTTTCCCATTATTGTTTTCAACTTTGTAATACTGGAAAGATTTACTCACCACTGAACAATCAATATAGTTTTCAGTCCACATGTTATCAGGCCATTATTTAAATATCCGAACAAATAAGCTACTGAAGTCTACTGTGAAATGTTGGGAATATAAACTTCGATTACACAAATTCCATGCCTTAGAGAAACTCAAGGCTCTTCTCTTAAGCATGCATGCCTCCCATGAAAGTTTTTAAGAAAGGAAAATCTCTTACAGAACTCGTCCAAAGTTTGGCTGCTTCCAAATTTAAACACAAACTCCACCTCAGATTAAACCAGAGGTACTTCCCCTTCAGAAAAGGAATTACTGGTAGGGAATAAGAAGGAAGTTGTGTGTGTAAATGTGTTTTGAGGGGGAATGGGACAGGGAATAATTAACAAGGGGAGAAATCAGAAACCCAGTTTTGAAGAGAGAATGAAATGTAAACTGGCATGTAAAAGAATCAGATATGTTCACGGGTTTTCCACACACCTTTACTACACAGAATTGTAACCCTTACAGAGCACTTCAAAGGCCTGTACAGGCCGTGTATTTCTCGGCTGCAAAGACGCTTCTGCAGGCAACTATCCCGCCTCCTCCGCGCCGCCCAGCAGCCACAGGAAACGTATGACAACCCTAGCCCCAGGTCCCGGCCGCCTTTCAATGGAAGCTACCCTGGGCCGTTGGACTGGCGCGGAGGTAGGACGGTCGGTCAGCCTACTGGCGCAAGAGGTGGGAAACACCGCAGACCCCAGTCGGTGGCCGGGCCAATGAAGGGGTCAGCCTCAACCTCCACCTCAGCCACCACCACAGCTCTGCCGGTCCAATGCCGAAGAGAGACCGGAAAATCCAGCTCTCCGAGGGCAGCAGGGACTCCCGAACGGCTTCCCACGGCTTCTGGTCTTTCCGCGCCCGCCCCGGCAGCAGTTACCTTCCCATGTGACATCGTAAAGCTCTGAGACCTTCGCCATCTTCTCAGAACCTGGAGGCAACCGGGCGAGAGGGCGGGGAGATGTGGTCACACGACCCGAGACTAGGCGGTGGCGAATTACGACACCATTTCTCATTGGCCAAGAGCGCGGAGGGGGCGGGATCCGCCTCACACGTGCACGCGGCTCTGCCGAGGGGCAGTCGGGAAAGGGGGCGGGACGAGCTGGGCGGTGCGCCGCGCGTTAAGGTCTGTGAGGACGCGGGGGCGGAGCCGCTGGAGCCGGAGCCGCTGGAGCGGGAGCCGCTGAAGCCGGTTTGGGGTGAGATGTCTATTTTACCGTGGATTCTTAGCAAATTCTGGGTCTTTAATGTGTGCCACTCCCGGCTTTTCACTTTTTTCTGCATAGGTGTATTCATTCTCTTCCCACTTCCTAATCGGTACCTTGTTCTCTTCATGACCTGCTGCAATGCAAAGTTCTGCGCGAACCCGTTATCTGTCCCCAACTTTCCTCCTTCCATGATGGGATTCGCCTTCGATTTCCTTTTTAATGTTCGGCTGAACTGATACACTTCAAAATTTTCTGGTTAAATCTCTTTGAGGAATTAAGCAGAATTCTGCTTTGCAAATTATGTTCCTGTGGCCGAGGACTTCTTTATGTTCACATGAATGGCTTCGTGCCAATCCAAACCCTTAGTTAACGCTCCCCGTGGATCACTGTCTGCTTGCCAGTCTATTTTTTAAACTCCATAAAAGCAGACGATATGTAAATGATTATAAGTAGATGAATTAATCACAGCCCCTACACTTCGCTCCTCTTTATTCGCACGGGGGAGCCTCCAGGCTAATTGCTTTCAGAAACCTTTGGACCTGGTTGGATAGAGCTAGGGAAAAAATGTCTGGAGTGGAAGCAAAAAACTTGAGGGTCTTAAGGGTATATTTAGTATTTGAAGCAATGAGAACATAAAAATGTAAAGGGGGAATATGTAAAGTTAAGAAAGAAGGCTAAAAATTCCTGCATAACACGTATACTTAAGGGTCAGTGAAGAAAAGAAAATCAACATATGAGGAAAAAGGAAAACAGAGAGCCATATCCCACATGCCAAAGGAGTAGAGTTAAAAAGAAAAAAAAAAAAGGAACTATCAGTGGCACCTGCCCAAGGGAAGTTGCATAAGGATAGAAAAGACTACTGAATTTATAAACTTGGATTAGATTCTGAATGAAGTTCATTCTCTCTAGACTAGACAGACCTTTTAAAAAAAAAAAAACCTTCATTCAAAAAAATTTAAAATCCTCCACTCAGAAATTCACATATTCTAATACTTCAGTAAAACAACCTGGTGTAATGGAAAGAACAAGAACTCTGTCAGACAGATCTGAATCCAGGCTCCACCATTTAGTAGCTGCTTGACAGTTAGCCTATGTATCTCTGAGCATAGGAGTTGATCAGATATAGAAAGAAGCTAATCATATCGATATAAAAAGAAAATATCTCCCTTGAATTGTTATCAAGACTAAAAGAGACACTGCATGACACTCTTATGGAAGTAGCAGTCCTGTGGCTATAAATACTGTTTATATGTTGATGATGCCCAAATGCATAAAATCCAGCAGTCCTTACTTCTCCCATGAAACCCAGTTCTACTTTCTTGACATGTTCATTTAGATGCCTAAAATGTATCTCAAAGTTAACATCTCCCAAACAGAAATCTGGATTCCTGCCACCATGCCCCCCAACTTGCTCTTCCCCATCACAACTAAAATTCTAGGAACTATCATTGATTCCCTTCTTTGCCAAGCCCCCTATATCCAGTCTATTAGCAAAGTCTGTATTGTATGCTTCCAAAACTTTCCCCAAACCCATCTATTTTTTTTTCATCTCCACTGCTACTACCTTAATAGAAGCCACAACCATCTCTCACCTGAATGACTGTCATAGTCTTTTAACCTTCTTAGTTTCATTCTTGCTGTGTAAAAATCTATTTTCTATACAGCAATCCTACTGGTCTTAAAAAGGCCAGAGAAGTCCTCTGCTTACAGCTTTCAAATGGCTCCTCTGGCAGTAAAAATATACTCTAAACACTTTACCGTGATTTACTTCATCTCCTACCATTGTCTCTTTTCACTAGATACCTACCATTCTCACCTATTTCTATTTCTCAAACATGGCAAACTCCTATCTGCCTTAGGTCTGGCATTTACCCAGAGTGTGTGAAAGCCCAAGAAGTTGTCTTTTAATGACTTACAGTGGCTGTAACGAGTACAACTAATTAAGGGAGTAAATATTTTTCACTCACTTTAACTAAATGCCCTTGTATTGGGTTGGCCAAAAGGTTCGTTCGTTTTTTTCCATAAGATGGCTCTAGTAGCACTTAGTTGTCTTTAACTTCATTGAAAGAATTTTGTTAGATTGCACATGACAGCTGTCACATCAGCATGCATTTTAAAAAAGACTTATAAAAATAGGTGAATTTTTTGTAGCCATTTTAACATTGAAGATGGAAGGAAAAAAGCAACATTTTCGGCGTATTATTTCTAAAAGGTAAAAACGCAACTGAAATGCAAAAAAAGATTCGTGCAGTGTACGGAGAAGGTACTGTGAGTGATTGAACATGTCAAAAGTGTTTGTGAAGTTTCATGCTGGAGATTTCTCACTGGATGATGTTCCACGGGCAGGTAGACCCGTTGTAGTTGATAGCGATCAAATTGAGACATTAATTGAGAACCATCAGTGTTATACCACGGCGGAGATAGCCAACATACTCAAAATGTCCAAATCAAGTGTTGAAAATCATTTGCACCTGCCTAGTTATGTTCATCGCTTTGATGGTTGGATTCCACATAAGTTAAGCAAAAAAAAGCTTCTTGAACATATTTCCGCATGTGATTCTCTACTTAAATGTAATGAAAACGTTCCGTTTTAAGACAAATTGTGACAGGCGATGAAAAGTGGATACTGTACAAGAGCGTGGAACAGAAGAGATTGTGAGGCAAGCGAAATGAACCACCACCAACCACACCAAAGGCTGGTCTTCATCCAATGAAGGTGATGTTGTGTATATAGTGGGATTGGAAAGGAGTCCTCTATTATGAGCTCCTTCCAGAAAACCAAATGATTAATTCCAAAAAGTACTGCTCCCAGTTAGACCAACTGAAATCAGCACTAGAAAAAAGCATTCGGAATTAGTCAACAGAAAACGCATAACCTTCCATCAGGATAACGCAAGACTGCATGTTTCTTTGATCACCAGGCAAAAACTTAGCTTGGCTGGGAAGTTCTCATTCATCTGCCATATTCACCAGACATAGTACCTTCAGATTTCCATTTATTTTGGTCTTTACAAAATTCTCTTAAAGGAAAAAATTTCAATTCCCTGGAAGACCGTAAAAGGCACCTGGAACAGTTCTTTGCTCAAAAAGATAAAAAAAGTATTGGGAAGATGAAATTATAAAGTTGCCTGAAAAATGGCAGAAGGTAGTGGAACAAAAGGGTGAATACTTTTTTCAATAAAAGTCTTGGTGAAAATGAAAAATGTGTTTTTTATTTTTACTTAAAAATCGAAGGCACTTTTTGGCCAACCCAATAGCTGGCTACTGTTGTCTGTCAGGCAATAAACCATATGACATAAGGTTAAAAGAGGTCAATATCAGAGTTTTTGAGCTGAAAACTAGAATAATTTCATTTTAGAGTTAGAAGGAACTTATGATTCTTTAGAACAGTATTTGTCAAACTTTTTTGCCTACATCTTATATTAAGGAATACACTTTATATCACACTGTGCATACAGATATTTAAAACTAAAACAAAATTTGCAAACAAGCCTTTTACTGTGTCTTGTTCTCTATATTTTCTATTCAAATTGAGTCAATTCCATTTTATTTTATAAAAATATTAGTTGTGACCCACAAATGGGGTAATGACCCATATTTTGAAAAACACTAATGAACATTGTATGCATTTCCTAATGAGGCCCTGAAATGAAATTATTTGCTCAAGTGCTTACTACTAGTAGGTAAAAAAGATGGGAAATTCATAGGGTGGAGATGAGATGTTTAGTTCATAGGTGAAAGATGAAATATTTACAGGAAAAATGTTTGTCACCAATAGTACTCTCTGAAGCGAGGACAGTGACTGTTCATATTTTATAACATTTCAGTTGTCCAGTAAAACTTGCTTTCCTCAGACACACTCAGGAAAAATCTGGCATGTCAGTGACAAAACTTCTGTATTCTTCTTTAACATTTTATAATGTAATTATAAAGTAAATTAAAAAATACCTTCTATAGGTAAAACCATAACCTTGGCAACATAAACATCAAGCATACTTTCTGTAAATCCACCTTTACAAATGTTCTCAAAGTTTTACCTCTCACCTTCTCATTCCTTTGAAAAAGAGAGTTTTCATTTGTACACATTAAAAATATTTAATCCTCTTTATCTGATTGAACAACTGCCCAATATTGGTGACAAATATCAGGAAACTATCCCAGCAGCCAAATAGTAGATTATGCCATGTCCAACACCATGGGAATTACTATTTCATTAATGATCTCAACAGCAGAATGAAAAAGGCACATGAATGTGATCTATTATATGCTTTTTTTAAATGTGAAGCTATCTTATGATTTCCATTTTTTGTCCTACAAAATCATGTTTGAAAAGTTAGAATAATAATACATCAGAATGAATTATGGTCAAAAATGAATAACTTTGAGTAATTCCACATTTTCTTTAAGATGGGATAAGCTTTGATTATTTATCAAGCCAGATTGGCCCACAAAGCGCTTTAGAATGCTTCTTTTTTATGCTCATGGTTTACTTAATGTCTTCAGACATTATGAAAGACTAAAGCAACTTCTTAAATTTAATAAGCCTTATGGCTTTTATAAAATGGACATTATTTAACAGGACAAAGCATAATACCATGTTAATTGATTTTTGCAATATTCAACATAGTCATCAAATCATTTATTTAGAATCTACTGGCTGCTTTGTTCTGTCTTAATCATAGTGAATTCAAATATCCTACATTATGTAGCACAGTTTATAACCTCAATTTACTACTCTGACAATTATCCATCAAAATAAATTGGTCTACTACAACTCTCATATAAAATTCATCATAGCTTTTAAATCATGTTATTGTTTCTAATTAGTGAATCATAACTATAATCCCTTTGTGTTTAAGGGAAAATATTACTTATTTCATCTTCATTCCTTCCATGTCAATATATTTTTACTGTGACACGTTCACATTTGGAAGGAAGTTTTCCTTAGAGTTTTATTTACCAAAAGCCAGATTAATATAGAGTTGTTTTAG